GTCCAGCTCTGGAGCCCTCAGCACAAGAAGGACATGGAAGTGTTGGAGCAGGTCCAGAGGAGGGCCACAAAAATGATCCGAGGGCTGGAGCACCTCTCCTATGAGGACAGGCTGAGAAAGTTGGGCTTGTTCAGCCTGGAGAAAAGGAGTCTGCGGGGAGACCTGATTGCGGCCTTTCAGTACCTAAAGGGGGCCTATAGGAAAGATGGGGACAATCTTTTTAGTAGGGCCAGCTGTGACAGGACAAGGGGTAATGGTTTTAAACTAAACCAGGGTAGATTTGGACTGGATATAAGGAAGAAACTTTTTACAGTGAGGGCGGTGAAGCACTGGAACAGGTTGCCCAGAGAGGTGGTGGAGGCTCCATCCCTGGAAACATTCAAGGCCAGGTGGGATGGGGCTCTGAGCAACCTGATCTAGTTAGTAGTGTTGCTGCTCACTGCAGGGGAGTTGGACTAGATGCCCTCTAAAGGTCCCTTCCAACCCAAAACATTCTATGATTCTATGAATTACAATGAGTGGAAGGGCAAAATGATGCAGCGAATGCTAGCAGAATTCATAAAGTCAAAGGCCAGTAAAATACAGTATGTGTACAAAATAATAGTTTAGTTCCTGGCTACCTGCTGTGTTCAAGCACAAAAGACAAAGTAATATCTTCAGAATGTATTTGTGAAGACAACTGTTCCCTATTATATGATAAAATTGCAACAGTTTATTTTATTTAATTAGTATCTCATTTGTTCTAGGGTGTTAAAAGGCTAATATGCATATAAATTGATCTTGCATCTTTGGACAAATTGTGCTATAAATATTATCTTGTAAAAGAAGAAGGAAAGATGTGAGCACTGGACTGTCTCCCATCAAACTGAACTGAATCTCGCAGGACTACTCTGTAATTTACAGTACAGGCATGCTGGTAGGCAGGAGAGATGGTGACAAGTACAAGCAATTAGGGTTAAAAATGTATATGGGCCAATTTGTAGCTGTGCTATCCTGGGATAGACCCAAAGGAGGAATGATGCCTCTGAGACAGGCTCACTTCCCTCTGTACTGACCTACCTCCAGCTGAAAAAGGAGAGCTTCATTCCCCATCCCTGGGCAGCATGCACATGCTCTTCCACCCATTCCTCCCTCCCTGGAAGCTGCTCTGGCTGCTCCCCGCAGGTGGAGCCATGCTCCCCTGCATTGGGGTACCAGTGGGAAGTTTCCACGCTCCCCTCCTTCCCTTCCCGGTGCCCCTGCAAGGCAAAGCTGGTGTCTGCAGGGAAGCACTGGCTGCTATGGGAGTCTTTGCGTCCATCTCATTCTCTCCTCGTACATGCACGAACACATACATGTACACACGAACCGCTGTGCCTATATAGCAAATGAGAAATCAAGGTGTACAAAAATTAAAAGGCCAAAAATACTTTGAAAAGAAGACAGATACCTTTTAGAGTCATCTCTTCCCTGCTCATATATGTGATATTGGGGATGCAGATTCTGAGTCTCATGCACAGCATTTCAGCCCGTGTGTGAGTCAGACCTGCATTTTTTTGCAATGTGAAGTACTATCGATCAGCCAGTTAAAAGCACATCATTGTCAATAGAGTGACCCTGTAACTAGCAGTATTTTTGTTTTCCTTTCCTTTTAGTTTGAGCTATCGCAGTGTCAGCAACAATCAGAAGAAAATGCGAACATTTGTCTCAATAGCCCAGAATGCCTGGGGAATTTTTATATCCGAAAGGAAGCCTGGCTGGAAGTATCTGATGCAGCTTTTTGCAGTTTGCTCTGCAGTTGGCTTCCTCTCAAGCTTTCTCTTATTTCTTGGCATGCGCTTCTCCCTGGCACAACACCCTTTGGGTCCCTTATTGTTTTCTGGATTCATCTGGATCTTGCTTTCTATCGCGCTCTCCTGTTTCAAGCACCTGCGCTGTTTTAGTGTCCTATTCCTTCTTTCTTGCGGACTGCGAAATGGCAGGAGTGCTCTTATTACTGCTGGCACAGGCATCGTGGTGGCCGGCAACATCCAGAATATTTTTCACAACCTAAAGGTTCTGGCAGACAGTATAACCTGTCATTTGGAGTATGAGCAATTTGCCCTGATAAAATATTACATTGAGGCAGTAAAATGGATTTACGAGGCGGTCAAGCGTTCCACTGAACTATCAAAATATATAGTGTTCCTAAGGCATGAATTCACACCATCTTATTCAATTTCAGATGATGCGTTGAAACAAGAGCTAAATAGCACAAAGCAAGAAATCCAGAGAGTTGCTAACCAGATATCTTTTATGCTGACTATACTGCCCTATATAGGCCAGAAAGTGTTGCCTGTAGTGGGGATTTTTCTAGCTTCTTTTGGAACTGGCCTCTTTATCAAAAAATTTTTGGGCTCTCACAGTGCCAAATTTAAGAATACCTACATCACTAAAGAGTTCATTGCATTTGATGAGCACCAAAAGCAACAGCAAAAACCCTGCCTTCTGCCACTTAACAGAAAAGAAAGAAAAGATTATGTGACAATCCCATCTTTCTGCCTCACAAGGAAGGACAGAAAAAACATGCAGTATTTTTTTCTTCCTGTAATTATTCATCTTTGCATCTGGCTTCTGTTTGCTGCAGTAGATTATTTGTTTTATTGGTTAATTATTTCTGTGAATAAACATCTCCAAGAAGTACCGGATCTAAAGATTCAACTCAGCGTCTTTCAGCAAGTAAGTACTTATCAGTACTTTATATTTCTTAGCTTAGTATTGAAAAATTTCCTTTCATCTTCAGCAGCTGCAGGAGCAGACATACATCCAATGAGCCATCGGTTCTTTCCTGGCATATTCATTTTCCAAAAGGGCCATTACCTTTATAGACGTATGTTGGATGGAACCAGACAGTTCTCTGCACTTTCCAAAGGGTATTCATAGTCTAGAGAATAGTAAATACAAGAAGAGGGATTTTCATTTCTCCATTTATATATGTGGATGTCGTGGTTTAACCCCAGCTGGCAACTAAGCACCTCATAGCTGCTCGCTCACTTCCACCAGGTGGGATGGGGGAGAGAATCAGAATCAGAACAGTAAAAGGAAGAAAACTCCTGGGTTGAGGTAAAGACAGTTTAACAGGGAAAGCAAAAGCCACACACACAAGCAAAGCAAAGCAAGGAATTAGATCACCGCTCCCCATGTGCAGGCAGGGGTTCAACCACCACCAGGAAAGCAGGGCTCCATCACGCGTAACGGTGACTTGGGAAGACAAACGCCATCACTCTGAATGTCCCCCCCTTCCTTCTTCTTCCCCCAGCTTTACATGCTGAGCATGATGTCATACGGTGTGGGATATCCCTTGGGTCAGTTGGGGTCAGCTGTCCTGGCTGTGCCCCCTCCCAGCTTCTTGTGCCCCCCCAGCCTCCTCGCTGGTGGGGTGGGGTGAGGAGCAGAAAAGGCCTTGACTCTGTGTAAGCCCTGCTCAGCAGTAAGGAAAACATCCCTGAGCTATCAACCCTGTTCCCAGCACAAATCCAAACCACAGCCCCATACCAGCTACTGTGAAGAAAATTAACTCTGTCCCAGCCAAACCAACACAGTGGAGAAGACGGGAAGCTTAAAATTGGAAACTCACAGTGCTGACATTTGTGAAGCACCACTTTTATAGTCAAAATGCCACTGTGACACTGACGTAAGAAATGCCTACCTTTCTTTAGCTGAGTATATGAGGAGCTCACCTTTTAAAAAAGCATGGCTGTGTTCACATGAATTAATAACATGTTGCCAAAATCTCAAGGTTCTTCTAGCAGGATCGGCAGTGTCATACAGAATCACAGAGTAGTTAGCTTGGAAGGGACGTCCAGAGGCCATCTAGACCTACCTCATGCTCAAAACAGGGCCAGCTTCAGAGTCAGATCAGATTTCTCAGAGTCCTGTTGTGAACACTTCTAAGGCTGGAGATTCCACCGCTGGAGTGTGTGACCCATGTGATGCTGTGCAGGGACAGGAAAGCTGTTCAGTTTTACAGCTTGCAAGATCATGCTTAAAACATTTTCAAAATGTATATAACCCTTTGATACTTCCAAAATAAAATTATTTCAAAGGGATGCTTGCCTGTTAGTACAATATGATATATACTTTCTCTTCTGTCAATTTTTTCTTGCTCAGCATTTTCTATTACTTCCTCTTAGAGCTCATAATAACAAGAATTCATTCCCATTTCTCCCCATCCTCCCAAAATTGATCTAGCCAAAAGCAATTCCAGAGAGTAAGGTTATTAAGATGAACAATGCAATAAGTGCATTGCTTCAAATTACAAGCGAACAGAACAGGACACACAATCTTCGGCAGATTCTCATTCTCAGTTTTGCATATGGTGACATATTAAAACTCTGAGCTGGCTTCTTCAGCCAGACCATATTTTCTATGACACACTGTTAAAGCTTCAGCTTAGACAGTGTTGTGGCAAACTTGTGGTCCTGGTGTGTCATGGGACGTTCATCTGGTTGGGACTGAACCATGAAGGAGAAGGAAGGCGTGGTGCACAGCATGCTTGAGGCATGGGAACACTTCACGCACATAAGTCCATGGGACCTGATGAGATGCATGCCAGAGTCCTGAGGGAATTGGCCGATGTAGTCGCCAAGCCA